TATATATATATATATATATACAGTATATATATATTACTTTTCTGGTTCTGAAGTGTTTTCATTTTTATAAATAGAACCAAAAAGGTGTTTGGTTTTATGTTTTTCCACAGCTGTTTCTGCTCCTTCGTCAATTGTCACATTATTTGCTTCAGAAATCTTTGCTCCACTTACCGGCGTTCCTCTTGTTTGTCTTTTATTGACCACTCTGTGTCTGAGACAGAAAAATGTCTTTTTCTTCCCCTCTCTTTTTCAAACATCAAACACCGTTTCCAGATCAGTGTTGACAGATTCCCATTTCTTCCGTCCATTCGCTGCAGGCAGTTCCAACTCTATCAGCATCACAGTCTATCGACTGGGGGGTTATTTCTGTCTTCAAATCCCACTGAGGGGGAGAAGAATTGATCTGAAATGTTTGGATCATTACCTGTTTGATGTTTGGACAAATTATGCAGACGTTCGGTACCAAAGGAGCAGACAGCTTCACACAGCCATCTGTGTTTTCTCTGTTTGTTAATCTTGGCACAGCTTGGTTATTAATAGCCACAAATCAGACAAAGGAAAGGTATTAAATTAAATTAAATACAGTGTAATTGAAACAAAAGTAGTTTAAAAAGCACATCTTTAATCACATTTTTGTTTTCTCTTTTGAGATTTAACATCTTCTCAGTTTCAAATATAGCCATACAAATGCAAAAGATCAATCAAAGACAGTGAATTGTTACATGAACATATACAAAAATTAAGTCCAGTTAAAGCTTCAACTATAAAATAAATAAAAATTAGAATAGATACAGGGAATATTTAATTAGCAACAGCTAAATATGAGCTAAAGATAATTAACGGCGTTGTGTTAGCTATTGGTTAGCATGAAATATAGGGAATTAATTCAATTTAGCCAGAAAAAAAGAGAAGAAATTTAGGCAGGAGTATTACTAAAATGTTGGCAGAAATTTAACTAAATAGGATCAGAAAGATTACAAATATCTGCAGCAAAAGAGTTGAGAACTCCAAGATGTTTCAAGATGGCCAAAAAGATGACTTAAGGTTGTCAAGAAAAGCTCAATATTATATAATACAACAAAACATATTAGTGGATGAAATTAAGCAAAATGTTAGACAGAAATAAGAAAAGAAATACAGACCATGGTTTAAAGGGTTAAAGAAAATGGCTGAAATGTAGCTTCACTGTACAGTAGCAAACAAACCTGTTAAATGATGTATTTACATGAACTGTGTGGGGGGGGGGGAGATGCCCACTTACCCACGGGGCGGTGAGAGTAACAGCATGGTATCTTCATAATTTATGATCTTAACTGTTAAAGGAAAGAGGGAATCCAGGCCTGTGTCTGACCTCAGCTAACAGAAGAAAAACTCTGGCTGCCTGTGAAGGCCACCAGTGGCATCATGGGAGATTGAGTTCCACCTCCCAGCTGGTAGAAATTAACTTTAAGCAAACGAGAATTTTCAGTTAGCCTTAAGATGGCGCTAAAAGTGCTTCATGACATAGCATCAGATAATTAAGAACGTGTTGTTCCGCGTTTGTTCTGGGGAATCCCACTGAAAACAGAAATGTATAAGGGATACTATGAGAGACGGGGGGAGTTCAGTGAAGCCCCCACTAAGCAGAGGAATCCTGGATGTGACAGGAGGGGAGCCAGATGGTGCTGAGCCTGGCTGGGGAGTCCAGGGAGTTGGGGGAGGTCTTGGCTACAGACCCACCTGAAGACTGTGTGTAAAACATGAAAATGTTAAAAAATGCCTACGCTTTTGTTGACATTAAATATGGAATAACGCGGTCAGATCCTGACAAACAAGGATCGGCTTTAAGGATAGGTGAAGATGGAAAAGGAGGGAGATGATTGGATGAGGCAGAGTTGGAGGAGAGAGGAGAGGAGAAGCAGGGAAAACAATGACGGACGCTGTTACCTGATAGGCCTTGATAAGGTATCAGTGACAGACAGTGTGGAGGTGGTGGAGCAGAGAAGATCCACAGACATGGCTGACAGATTGTCAGAGGTCACACAGACGGGCGGAGGGGTCACACACACACACACACACACACATGCTGAAGATTTCAAGTGCTTACATGTATGTAACACATACCCACACTGGGACACAAGTGCTTTCATGAAAACAGAAGAATTAGATTTTGTAAGCAGAGACCCTGCTGCTCTCAGACCACCAACCAGTTCAGATCACATTAGTTCCATCACTCACAGCAAATGTGGTTACTTCTCTGTGAGCCAGAAAACAAATAAAAATAAATCATTCGTTATCAGGACACATTGTTTGAATCAAACTATAGAAAAATTCTGGAGAAAATCGGAGCCAAACGTCTAAAAGGTTAGCCTGGGTAAAAATGAAAAGTAGTTTGAGATTATAATAATTAAGGTTAAAAAACTGCAGATAATAGCAGTCAAAATGAGGTGGACAAAAACTAAAAGTTGGATTAGTGATGGGTCATTTAAAAAAACCTTTAAATTTACAATAATGATATAGAAAGCCTCATGTAGCTTAGTTTAGCTCAGCTCAAAATATCTCATTGTAGCCAGTCGGTAATGTAGCTTAGTTTAGCACAGCTTAAAATATCTCATTGTAGCCAGTCGGTAACTAAATATAGCTAATAAAGAAAAAAAAAACCTAAAAGTTATCAGTAAAGTCTCTGTACAGTAGTTTACACCAAATCACGGAGACGTTTAACAAGTGTGTGTTGTTCTTCTGTGGTTTTCAGAAGGAGAAAGAAGGATGTGAGAAAAGTCTTCCTCAGCAGAACCCAGACTGCAGCTACATCTGGGTTCCGGAAAACCTGACTCCCTCCTGGGTTTGTCTGCCAAACAATCAGCCCGTGCTGTTTATCATCCAGCCGGGAGACTCAGCGCTGGAGGTCCTCAGCTCCATCTGCAAGGTGAGCTCGCCCTGATGTCAGCACAGATGTTCCCTCAGCTGTCCCCGAGAAATATGGACGCTAGAATAGCTAACGGTTGACAAAAATAAAAAAAGCAAAGTAAATATAGATACAATTATTATTATAATATACATATATAAATATTTATATTTATGTATATATGTATATATATATATATTTATAAATATTTTTATTATTTATAATGATTTATTATGGGAAATTCCCATTCAGTCTTGTCACCTTTGGTTCCACTCCGTCTCCTCTGTTTTCCTAATTCGTCTCAGGCTGGAATAATGAGGCCTAATGATACGTATACGGAACGACATTCTGTTGGGAAACAAGGCAACCGATGCCTGTGTATATGTTTGTGTGTGTGGGTGTTGTAAACATGTCACAAGGAACTGGAGCGTCTAATTTCAGACCCCATGAGTTGAACAAACGTTCAGATCCACGTGAATTCCTTTGTGTTTTTTTCAGCCGACGTCATGAGCTTCACAAACATGTGCAAACATCAACTGACTGATTATCACTGGTACAGACAATAACCTCTGTCTCTGTCTGTTTTAAATAAAAACACCAATTTGACCACAGTCTCTCTCTCTGTTGTTATTCACAGACACACAAAATCGACCGACCGGGCCACTACCTACGGCTGAAGGTGTGTGTTGAGAACCAGATGTTCTTCTATGTCCCCAAACTGGAAGACGACATCTACGATGTGGTAAGTAAATGACCACGCCCACTGTGAGGAATGTAGTAAAAGATCATATATATAAATATAAATATATGTATCTAAAAAATGTAAATACAAAATTTGACGTCTATGTATGTATTTACGTATATATATGTATATATGTTAACATAACAGGTATAATGTATGAATAAATGTTTAATGTATACAGTATATATACACACATATATACATATATACATTTATACATATACACACATATACATATATTTAAATATAAATCTATATACAGTATATAAACTGTATATTTTTATCATTTTTTTCATATTTTATGTTACATTTATAATCTTTTGATATTATTTTTACATTTACTAAATTCTAGCTTGTAGGCTATATATTTCGTTAGCCGTAGAGCTAGCCACCTTTTCTGGTATTCAGCTCATTCATTTGTCTTTTTCAAGCTAACGCTGTGGACATGTTCATCGTTTCCTTATGGTTTATTTAAGAACACATTCTCTGGTTCCATATTTAACCTCCTCCTCTCCTCACCTGTGTGTTAAGGAGCTGCCGTACTCTACACCCCAGACCAGCTTTTTCACTGTACAACTGGACTTTGTAGTGAATATACTGAAGTCCTTTCTACTGCAGTACAATCATTTGATTTTTCCGCAGCAGCTCTTTTATCTCCCTGCTTTGATCAGCCTCCCTCTTTCATCCTCACCGTCACTGATATTACACTATTATATCTCCTTGGTGAAAACACACTGCATGTTTTTTTTTGTTTTTGTTTTTCCATGCACGCAGCTGTGTCTGTGTGTGGTCCGGCCCACTCTGGGCCGTGACCCTGGTCTGATCATCCAGTCACTAACCCACTCACTCATTCCCCCACTTTACAGACCTGACCCGGGTTTTAACCCCGAGAACCTTCAGAGGCGATTGCTCTGTTTAAGAAGCTCTTAAATAAAACATGAAGCTGTTCAGCCTTTTATTATGAGCCACAACTTGACCTTGACTTTTCTATTTCTGGACCAACATCACATGTCCGTGTTCGCAGGTCTACAAAGAGATCGAGATCCGGCCCAAAGTGACCAAACTGATCCGGTTTGACCAGAGCGACTCCTGCGCCGACGGATACGGTGGGTTCAGACAAAAAGAACCGCGGTTTAAAACTCACTGCGTCAAATTGATTTTCTAATGGACTTCTCTGGGTCATGCTTTGATAATAAGTGAAGTGTGGGGGCTGCATGTGGCCTGACGTGAGTGTCCTAAATGGATGTAATTACACTGTAGTGAAGCTGCAGCAGCCCACACTGTCATTTTGCAATATTTTAAAGACTGAAGAGAATTAATGACGCTATCCCTGCTTGAATGTAATTATGTGTGTGTGTGTGTGTGTGTCCGTGTCCCTGCAGGATTTTCTGTGGCCGTAATTGATGAAGATGGAACACAGCAGTTACATATTACAGAAGTTAAAGCAGGGGGCGTGGCCTCAGCCAAAGGTACATTTTTCATCATTTGATCGGAGTTGGTCTTTCACTCAGGTGAACCAGTAGGAGTGGATTTGTGAATTATAATCAACATCTAAATCTGTCCACCTATCACTGAAAAAAAATGGTATCATATGGTTTATTTTATCAAAATGTTGTGGGTCATATTATTTTATTGGATTCTATTATACTATATTGTATCATTTTAAATAGTTTATATTATTGTCATATCGTATCGTATTGTATTTTTTGGTGTTATGTGATCAATCATCAAATTGTACATGGTATATCCAGATGATTATAGCTGATATTATGGTATTGAATCTGACTGTGTTGACTGACATCGTATATGATAATTTGATCAATTGAAATCCTAACCTTCCAAATGGTTCCATCTGGTCCGTCCTCATGTTGTACGCTAACATGGCTAACATGGCTAACATGGCTATCATGGCTAACATGGCTAATATGGCTAATCCCACTGATACAGTTCTACCTGATGTTACTGTTCGATTCAAGACAAATACAAGACTACAGCAAACCAGGCTTACATTTCCTGGACACAAAGACAAAACCCCCCCCCAAAAAAACCTGAAGTCATTTGTCTGCATCACAGTGTGATTTCAACAGCCAGGGTCAGGGTTCAACCCCCACCGCTGTTGTCTGTCTGTCTAACTGAGACCTAATAGGTTGGAGAAGAACACTGCAGCTCCGTAGATACAACACTAATGTATAAAAAATCACACCACTCCATTGTTGTGCCCCAGGGTCAGGCCAAGGTTACTCAAGTGTGAGATTATGTCCCCCGGTGTACTAGCCAGTTTAAAAATAATGCTACGCTAGCGGTTTAAGCCAGAGGACAGAGCTATGCTGAGCGGCTTTTGTTTTTCTACAGGCGAATGTTGAAGGGAAGAAAATAAACAAGTTTGAGATATACACATATATATATATATATTTTTTTTTTTTTGCTGAATCACAAAATTGGTTCAAGCAGGGAAGACCATAGTAGGTCCACAATGGGCGACTCTATGAATATGTGTGTGTGTGTGTGTGTTTTATAAGGAGATAATGAATCAGGAGTGAAAGAGATTACTGTGGAATTTCTGCAGGCGTTAAGCACAAAACCAGGCCACAGTCAAAGACGAGAAGACCCCACGGGTCTTTTCTCTCTCTTTATTTCTCCCCTCCTCTCTCACTATAGTTTCCCCAATGAAAACACACACACACACACACACACATAAAAACACACATATATGTCCAGAGGGGTAATCTCTCTCTCCGTCCAATACCGACTCAACTACAGCTGACATTTCACATCCCACACATCTAGGTCATTACTCAGGGCCAAATGTGTTTGTCTTTTACTTCAGCTTTTACTACATTGTGAAAAGCCATAGTGTCCAAGATAGCACAGCTAATCTGATGTGTCCAACATGTGGACCTAGGGGCCAGTTGTGGCACGTGGATGGGTTTAAATCATTTTATTTAAAAACATTTTTGGCTTATTATTATAATTTTTTTTAATTTTTTTAATTTTTTATTATAAGCTTTTATTATTTATTTTTATTTGGCTAACCTTATATTATCCAGTCTGTTAAACTTTCTGTTGTTCTGTGACAAAACATAATTTTGTGTTAATATTTTTTTATATATTGTTTTGCTGATGTTTTGGCCTAACTACTTCTTTCTTTTTTGTTAGCATTTTTTTAATAATATTAATTTTAATTATTTTCACAATTTTTATGCTACATTTTTGTGAATTATGTCTGAAATATTATCAAAAAAACCTGACACACAGCTGCAGTAAACAGAAAAACACAGAACTGAACACCGTAAAAAAAAAAAAAATCCTCAGTGACACATGGGGCTGCTGTCAGGAGGCCTGAACATCCGTCACAGCCAATCAGCTTTATTGAGTAAAGCTGGTTGCTAATTGGTCAGCTGATTGAGTATTCATTCTCAATTAGCAGAGCTGGGCACAGGTGGTGGAGGAGAGAGGAGAGGAGAGAGGGAGGGGCTGAAACCGAAGCTGTTCTTCAGTGAAATGCATGGTTCAGGACTAAAATAGACAGATATCTGCTCCTTCATCGTCTTCAATTCATCACTTCTAGTTACATCAGTATTCGCCTCAAGCAGTACAGGCGTCAGATGCTGCATTTTTAATACAGTGAGTCTCACAGAGCTGCTGAGACTACATGGCCATGAAGCTGTGTTTGTGTGATTTTTTTTTTTAAACATTAAACTCACACAAATTGAATGCCTACTGAAAATAAAGTGATTTCTTTAATATTTCACTTTTTCCATAAGGATTAGAACAGGATTTCTTTAATAATTCACTTTTTCCATAAGGATTAGAACAGATTTGTTTTTGTTTTTTATTTTCCTGCCAGGTTTGAATCCCGGGGATGAGATCCTGTTGCTGAATGGTAAAGCTGCATCCGCCCTGCAGATGGATGATCTGAAAGCTGCGTTTGTGAACCAAGCGTTGACCCTGTGTGTCAGCGCTCTGCCACAGCTGGACCCTCAGGTGCTGTGCTCACTTCCCCCTCGACGCTCTGATGGAGAGCAGGAGACAGCTACGGACTTCTACTCCCAGAGCCACGGTAAGACTGGCTTCATACCAGGCCATAATATATACAAATACTGTACAGTCTCTAGTGGGAACTGCAGTAAAACTTTCTTGGCAAACCCTTAACTGTACCTTTTAATACCTGGAACATAATGTTCTGTTTTATTTTCAGACAGAATATTCAATGTCTTGGTTATGGTGATTAGTGAATTAGCATTATAAAGTACATACTTGTTCAATTAGCCTGGAAATAATAAGAAAACTTGATATGAACAAAGAGTTTAACATCTGTCAGTGTCACCTTTTTGGCTAGCTTAAAAATCTAGCCAAAGCTACTGTAAAAATCTCCTACAGTAGGGAGGGTTGATGACATGCTACAAACCTGTATTGATGTTCATGAATGTCTGCTTACATTAACATTTTTTTGGTTACAATTTTAGGTATTTGCTTTTTAAGTTTTTATGGTCCATCTATTTCAATATTTTGTATCAATTTGTTAAAAAATGTGATTTAGTGTTCACATATTTGAG